TGCTTGTTTCTATGTTTTTAGGGTATTTTTTTCTTGGGTTCGAATGCAAGACTGAAACAAACATAAAATCAAGGTTAAAAATTGCAACGAAAACGAGAGAAAGTGGTACTTAGTGAATCGCCACTACTCTTGCGTAGGGCACCCAAAAATGCCGGACCGGCATTGTTCTTCCACTTGTGAGCCCATAATCAAACCACTATTCTTACTCCTGTAAAAACCGACTCCACAATTAGTAATTTTGTTTAATTTTGAATTGAACGTCGAAAAGTTTTCGAGGGATAAATCTATAATAACTTGTAGAAAACTTAGTACAAAATATTTTTTAAATCTTAAACTATAACATCTTAAACTTAAAGAATTGTATATTTCCTCATTTATAATATTTTCCCTTTTTATAGATATTTTACATTTGACCCCTTTCTAATTTTTTATTTTTTATATGTCAAATAAGACCCCATAGGTGATACAAATCGATTGAAGTTGATTATCCTATAGTGGTAAAATCATTAAGTCGCCCCAAGCTTTTTTGAAGTCCTACATGGAGACGAAAAAGTGGTCAATCCACCAGTAAATTAAGATAGAAAATTGTGAAATATTTCACAAGTAAATAAATTTTGAATAAACGAATGTAGCCAGAAACAAGTTATGACAAGTCAGGTAATAATATTTTGCGAAATTTTCGAATAATAATGTGAAGTAGTCAAAGCTGCACTTCACGGAATGTTTTCTTTTTCAGTCTCAGAAGAAACCATACGTGTAAAAATGCTTACTTAAAGAAAAAAAAAGCCAATCATATAATTGACCTTTTGCAAACCAAACCACATTCAATTTGAGTTTTACAAATGAAAAAACTTAAGAGTGAGACCAAAGGATTAATGATCAAACCAAACCACATTCAGCCTGTAGCATGAAGGCGAGCCTTCGTTCCTCAAACGAGTACTCAACAACTTCAGGCTTTTCAGACATCAATCTTGCATTGTCGGTGAATGGTGTTGGTGCAGTGTGCATTGGGACGGAGACTGTTGCTGGTGTCGATGGGATTGGAATCATTGCAGCAACATTCTTAGGTGTTTGCATCATCATAGTCATCATTTTCTCTTCTTCCAAGTTCCTAATACTGTTGATGTTCTTGACAGGAGTTGCAAATGATGAGATCTCATTCACTGCGTTGTTTTTCGGAAGCTGTTGTTGTGTCGTTGTTGCTATGTTGGCCTTTGATGCAACCACCATGGTCGAAATGGGCGAGAATGGTTTGCGAACTAATGGAGATTGCAACACTTCAGAAGGATTCATTGATTGTTTCCTTGAGGGAAGTCCTGCAATATCAAGCCCTCTTCTTCCTGCAGGTATAAAATTCATTTGCCAATGCAATTAGGAAATCTACTCAACACTATGATGACAACCACTGGTTACATTTGATTAAAACACATAGTTACCATTAGATAAAGCTCCATCATTCTGTCGGTGATCTGCTTTCTTGTTAGGCTTAGGAGTCTGATGCATTGCTGCTCCTAAGGAGAGTCTTCGGTTGGTTGCACCACCGGTCGACATTCTTGGAGCCTTTTTACCACCAAGGGGTTTAGATGGGCTCGGTTTGGATCCATATAGCGCCTCTTGTTCTGCTATGAGCTGTCCTTGAAGCTTCTTCTGATCCTTTAATATGTAGAAAATAGTTGCATCACACAGAGTTGGGTTAGAAGGATGATATTGGTGAAAATTTTCTGATGGAAACATAAAAGAAAGGAGAAATTGTACTTACCCGTTGGCGACGGTGTTCCTCTTCCCTTTCCTGCCTGAGCAAGTTGTACTCCTCAAGCATAGAAAGGAGACGGATCTAGACACAGAAAAAGAGAATTACAAATGGTCAGCTATAACATAATGTATAATAGTCAACTGAAAACAATAGCGATTTTGTAGAGAATTCATACACCATCATAGAGAAATTCAGTCCCCTTTTCTTGTTCCCAAACTATAGTCTTTGAGGCCAGTGCTTCAACCATTCCTGAATGAATGAACATGAAAAATACTAATCTATTTATAGCTTAAACATTACTTATACATTCATAGCAAAGAGTAACTTACCTGGAAGCTTGTTAACAAGATTACGAGCTTTCTCAGCACGCTTGAGAGTAAGATGAGCTCCTCGCCCAGCATTGTATCGGTTGTCGTCCTGTAGAGTGAAAAATATCAGAATATGTAACAAGCTTTTATCATTTTAGAAAGGTTTTTGTGATTCCGACTCTAACCCTGTTGTATTCTTCAAGCCAACTTTCTTCATCGCAGGCAGATAACCATTTCTCAACCCTTTCAAGTATATCTTTTCGGCTTAAAGCTTCCTCTTTGATCTTAGATATATGTTGCTCAAGATGCTCCAGGACCATTGTAGCATCCACAATACCAGATTCTATCGCTGCTATAGTTTGATCTATAGCACTGTCTGACACTGGCAACAAGTGGGTTTTCCTACATATGTCCTCTAGTTCTGACCTTTTCTTCAAAACAAGTTCTTTCATTTTGCTTGCTTTTACCTCATCCAATCGGACAACTTCTGCTTCAACCTATATATAGCAAAGGAAGTCATGTTATGGACCCATAAGTTATAAGCATGGTCATAGTATTATAGAACAGTTTAACCATGAAAAAATCTCCACAGCTTACGTATTTGATGAAGTCTTCAGAGAGACTATTGGCTTCAGTTATTTCTTGTTCTGATGCAGCTATATTGCAGGTAATATGCTGATACTCTTGCTGCTCTTCTATGGGTGTATCCATCAAATTCCAGAGCTCCAACATGGTTGTTGCTAGATCTTGAAGCTTCATAAAATGCAATAAGAAACTATGAGCCAACAACAGCAAAGAAAATTCTACATAACTCGCCAAAGTAATTCATCATCTTACCCGTTGCATTCTCTGAATCTTGACCTCCCTCAGCTTCTGAACTGCAGCCCCCAATTTCTCTATCGTATGATCACTCAAGCTTCTTGGTCCTTCTGGATCACTCAATGTGGGATTCACTTGGCCAACAACCTCATTAAAATCCATTCCAAGTACTGAACAATGGGAATACAAAGTACACAGGTGCTTCCGAATCGTCTCCACACGATCAATCTGAGGGAAACAACACAACAAAAGGAGTAAATACAATCTCATGTTAGGAATAAACAAACAAAAACAAAGAAGCCAAATATGCAAGTTCAAATCAAATCTCACTTTCTCCTTCTGAAGTGCTTGCAGCTGGCAGTGTAAGTCTTCAAGCTTTCTCATAGACAAGTCAGTCTCATCGATAAGTGGTTTGGAATGAACGAGTTCTCCTTGACCTCTAATATCATTAGTAATACTATCTATTTCCTCCAGGACAACAATGAACTGGTTTCTTCTTTCAATTTTCCTCTTTTGCATCTCTTCCAGTTCAGGAAGAATCCTCCCAAGCTCTTGCTTCAAGCTCCCAACGCTTTGATCAGTCTAACACATACAAAAGAAGATTTAAAGTCGAAAAATGCAGAAACATAGACTAAGTAAGTCCTTATCAAATCACTCACCTGTCTAATATGCACAGGACGCTCTCCCATAGCAGAACAAATGGCAGCTAATTCTGCTTCAGCATCAGCTATCGCTTGTCGTAATTGAGCTCTACATCGATTAGCTTGATCAACTTTTCTTCTATACACTTCCAAACATTCACGTTCAAGCTCAAGCAACATCTTATCTCTATCAGTTTCAGTTTCTCCAACTTCATCCCAAATAATCTAATTCGCACAAAAAAAAACAAACAAGATCTCATAAACAAACACTTTACACAAACAAATTGAAAGAAACTGTAGTATCATATTCAAAAGACTCTTAATCTCCCAATAACCTGGAGTTCGTATAGAAGAGATCCACAAGTTGTCTCTACTTGAAGAATCGGATCTTTTTGAATACTAGCCATTTCGAAATGCTTTAACCTGTAACAGAGAAAAAACGAAACCCTAACCATGTCATTCTCAAAAATTAGCAGCTAATTCGAAGCAATTGATTGAAAACCTAACTATGTATAATTCGATTTGGACATTGCGAAGCAACAAATTCAAAATACTTGCCTGAAACGGGAGATTTCTCGGAGATTTTCCAGAACTGATGATGATGATTGAATCTATCACTGAAACTTCGCGAGTTAGATTGAAGAAGATAAAACTCTTCGATAGAGAATCCAAGTTTAGAAACCTAGATCGAGAAGTTTGTGTGTGTAGAGAAAAGAGAAGAGAGAAAAAGAGCCGTTACAAAGAAGTAAAGGTTTTGGGTTGAGAGAGAGAGAGAGATGAAGATGATGACGATGAGATTGGGAAATTCGTCCGTTACCCGAACCAGCTCTTCCAATTTTGTATATTTGGGCTTTTTTACTTTTTCGAACTTTTGAATTTCAAAAAATCTGATTTAGGGGTTTAGAATCCAGTGCATCGCGTTTTGTGTAGACGAATTAGATACTAACCGTTGAGATATTCTTATTCCCTATGAACGGTTGAGATCTCACAAATGAAAATCTAGCATAAATTAGGTGTTAGCCGATCTTTGGTCTGAGAAAAACCGGTCTGATTTCAATTACTTCCGTCTAATATTCATACCACGCCTAACCAAACTAAATACTCTCCATTTTCTCTCCATTTTACTAAAATACCAAGGCTTTTTAATTAAATTGTTCCTTAGAAATCCAACTTGGATGATTAATAGAAGTAATATGTAACTAATTGGTTTAATATAGGAACTCCAAATAAATTTGTTTTTGGTTTAGGTGTGGTATGATTATAGATCTTGAACCTGTATAATCGGACTAGACGAGAAATTACATGCAGCGTTTTGCGAGTACTGTAATTTGAAACATACTTCATAATTACACACTTCTAACTCAATATTCTTATACTTTACACAGAAAATATCAAGTCGAAACATTTAAAGATTAAACTCTCACAATCATGTGAGAGTTAATAATTGCAAAAAAATGTGTATATAGAATGAAGATGTTGACCTGGCTCATCATTCTTTTCAAATAATTAGCTACCTCTAGTTTTGATGACTAAGTGTTGTAGAACTAACTCAAATTTCTGCTAAATGTCGTCGGCATATATATTGTCCATGTTTTCGAGTAATATGTCAATGTTTTCGAGTGCCATAATGAGTAAGCAAAACTGCAATATCGTCCAAATTTTCCTATTATTTTAAACTGGCAAACTGCTATATCGTCCAAATTTTTCCTATTTTGTATGATTATTTTTGGAAAGTTACTTACTACAAGAACTCGCATGCATTCTAATTTCCCTACCTTGTGCTCCACTCTGAATCAATGGCGTCTTCTTCTCTATCAACCCTTTGCAGTTGCACTTCGTCTTCTCTGTATCCTAACACTAAGCTCTCACGTTATCTTTCGGCAAACTTAACCTCCAAAACAAATGTTTCCATTCAGTTTCTTGGAAAGAAACCGTTCCCGCTTCTCTCCTCAACCATGAGATTTCTCACTGTTGTCGCCGCCACGGCTCAATCAATACCTAGAGGCAAAACCAAAAAAGGTACAATCTTTTCCTTTAAACCTAGAATTTTCTTATCCTCCGATCGACTCGATTGCGTTACTGGGTTGGTTGCGTATTTCACAGTGGTTGGAACTATAAAAATGAATGTATGGGCGGGAAGAGCAACTCCGGCGCCCCCGGTAGGTCCGGCGTTTGCTTCGAGGGGAGACAATCAAGAAAAACATATGGCTAAGCGTTTTTGCAAGGAGTACAACGCCCGAACCGCAGATAAACTCGGTGATATAATTCCTGTCCTAGTTACAGTCTACGATGTTAGTTTTTACTATTTCTACTCTAATTTTTACATTCTCCTACTTGCTATCTTTATATCGGAAATCTGATTTAAATTCTCAACTAGAGAAGAATAAATTTGCCATCACAAGAACAAGATGGGGTTTTGTATAGAGAGCCGCTTTTGAATAAGTGATTTGTTACGATTCATATATAGTTTCTTGTTTTGTTGTTTCATGGAGTTACTTATATGTGTGATTTCAGGATATGAGCTTCACTTTTATCCTCAAGACCCCTCCTGCTTCGTTTTTGTTGCTTAAGGCTCAAGACCCCTCCTGCTTCGTTTTTGTTGCTTAAGGCTGCAGGTATGTTTTACCCAATGAATGTGTACTTTAATAATAGAAATTATGATCAGCTGCATGCATAGTGTGAGTTTTGCTAGATCATTACTTGTTTCCCTTCCTAAAACTATATGTATAAAGCGTGGAACCAAAACAATTGACAAGAAAAATCATGTGTACATGTTTTATCTAAAATATAGTTCCTTTCACTTCTTTGGAGTTTTGTGATGTTTGACATTTATATTGACTTGTGGAAATAGGTGTTAAGAAAGGATCTAAAGATCCAAAGCAAAATAAAGTTGGGATGATAACAATAGAACAACTCCGCAAAATTGCAGAAGAAAAGCTGCCTGAGCTGAATTGCACTACAATTGTATCCGCTATGAGAACCATTGCAGGAACTGCATGTAACATGGGGATAGACATTGACCCTCCTATTCTTGAACCTAAAAAAGAAAATAGCTTTGTTTTAAAAATTGATACATTTTAATATTTAATTGATAAATCTTAACTATCTTTTGTAATATACTTTCAGAAGAATAACTTATATTTATTATGACATATTCTTTGTTTGATTTTTATAATTTATATATAAGAAATTTTATACATATATTAAGATATAATACATGAATGGATTCGGACTGAATCCAATAACCTATTTTTAAAAATAAAAACTTGAATCCAGATCCGAAAACTCTGGAAATCCCGTTTTTGGAACAAATTAAATTTCATTTCTATATATATATTTGCTATTCCTACTTAGAGTTGATTTGTAGTTTTTTCATCTTTATATATTCATACTTGAGAAACTATTGAATAACTTCAAGGTATTATTAGTTCAGTCCATAAAAAAAAGTGATGTAGAGTTTTGAGTAGGAAGCACTATAATCGATCTTCCATAATAATCAAACCTACAAATATCCTTTATATTATAATTATTCTTTGAGAAGTCTTCAAGAAGTTAAATGCATTATGTAAACAATAAAACAAACAAACACAAATTATGTTAAACCTGTCGTCACGGGAAGGATTAGAAAAAAGAATTATGACTATAAGGAGTAACCGATTTAATAGAACTGGTAAGCCTACACTAGGAATTCTGCCGTTAATTTGAGAATTAAATTAGAATGAGAATTAAAATGAGTAGAACTAGCCCTGGGCATAAAAACCGAACCCGAAAAACCGAACCGAAAATATCCGAAATTTTTGGTTTTGGATATTGTTAAATAACCGAATGGTTATCTTCTTAACTATCTATGGATATCGGTTATTAACCGAACCGAACCGATATCCATGGATATCCATTTTAAACCACACACATTTGACTAAAGAGGCTTATCTTCGATTATTTTGTCTTCGATTCAGCGTTTCATTTTTTTTAGATTTATATCGAGAGAAAACAAAAATACATGTTGTGTTTTCTATTGTATGCTCTGTTTTCTAAAATGAAAAAGAGAAGAGAGAATAGATTCTTGTTAATTGTTATTGTAACTTTGTGTGTGTGAGTGCGACTACGTGATTGTCATTGTAAGTTTGTAACAATTAATATTTGGTAAGAATAGATTCTTGTTAATTGTTATGTGTGCTAGTGTGTGTGAGTGTGACTGTGTGATTGTGTCACAGGAAGAGAAGAATGGAAGATCAACTCAAGGACTTTGAAGATGCTTGTAGAATCTAATAATCTATATTCTAATCTCTCTTTCTATCTTTCTTTCTTTTTCAAGTCTCTTTTGAACTTAATTATTTTGTTGCGGTTTTAACTCTTAATCTCTCATTTTTTTTAATTTTCAACTTGAATTATTGCATTTTGAAGCTTTTGGTTTATATTTGCATACATTATTAGTATTATAATCTGTTTTTATTTGAGTAATGCTTCGGTTATTTGGATAGTATGGTTATTTGGTAGGTAAATATCCGAACCGAACCGAACCGAACCATACCCGAAGGTATTTCGGTTATCTTATGGTTTTCTTCTCAAGTATCCAAACCGAACCGAACCGAAAGCTAACCGAACCGAACCAAAAACAGTTCGGTTCTCTTATGGTTCCTAAGTGCCTAGAACCGAATAACCAAATAACCGAACCGAAGCGAACCGAACAACCGAACGCCCAAGGCTAAGTAGAACAGTCAGTGTATTTTCTAGGATTACCAAAAGCATATGGGAAATACAACATTGTTAGCCGGCGATTATTCGATTCACGAAGATTACATATAAGTACAATAGCTTGAAATGTCTTCCACTAAAAACATAAACTCAATATGTTTCTTTTTATAAGATATCTTATATAAATTTTCAAAATGTAGTTACTAATTTTAAAATTAATATACGTTATTTCAATATGAATTTTGACTTTTATATTTCGAGTTCTTCAAGTGTCTTTACATGAAAATCAAATTAAATATGATTTTTATATTTTTTTTCAACTTTACCTTTTTATCAAAAAAAAAAAACAATTGGTTCATATAATAGTGCTTATAGAGAAAAAAGTTGAAATCTGTTGGTTCATGTATAAAGTATAAACAACTTATTTTTTTTTTTTCATATTTTTGTTGTACACTTGAGAAAACTGTTGAATAACTTAAAGGTATTATTCTAGTCTAATTTCATTATTCCTGAATTGTTTTAGAAAAAAAGAGATATTTTTCAAAATATCTCTTTTTATAAGATATCTTATATAAATTTTCAAAATGTAGTTACTAATTTTAAAATTAATATACGTTATTTCAATATGAATTTTGACTTTTATATTTCGAGTTCTTCAAGTGTCTTTACATGAAAATCAAATTAAATATGATTTTTATATTTGTTCAACTTTACCTTTTTATCAAAAAAAAAAACAATTGGTTCATATAAGGGTGATTTAAGTGTATAACCAAATCTGATAAATAAATTAAGAATATAGAATCATAAGTTTGAAAACAAAAGAAATAACCATCAGACATTGTAAAATGACAAAACTATCCTCACACATAAAATGAAATGAGAGAAAGAGTAGTAGTGACGTGAGAGTGAGAGGGGAGACAAATACTTCTAACCATCATTTTTTCTTTTACCCCTATTGATTTATACTTCTATTTATTATCTGATATAATTAATGTAAAATTATAATTTCTATAGAATAAAATCTAATCTTTTTTACTCTATATATCATGATTTGGATTTTTAAAAACGAATATAAACTTATAAAAACAAAACATATTTATGTAGCACAAATAAAATAGTATATAACTAAATGAAATAGTATAGAAATGAAACATGGGAGTGGTGGTACCAAAATGTTGAACAAAACTACAACGAAATACAAAATGTTATACCATAAAAAACACAAAATAGAAGCCAAACCGATTAAGTCAAACGAATGTCGAAGAAAAACCGTTATATTCTAATGAATACAACATAAAAAGAAAACCGTTATATTCGAAGCTTAGAGGTCGCCGGTTCGAATGACGCTTGAGACAAAACAAATATTACATGCTGTGGTTTCGAGTCTAGAAGGATTACGGGTTTTGGCACAGAACCTCCTGGTATTCAAAAAAAAAAAAAAAACTAATCATGCCAAGTTAAACACATATTAAAAAAGGCGCTATACCCTAAAAGATACAACATATGGAACCCAAACTACCGATTTAAACGCACAACGAATAAGAAACATATACCCTAAAAGATACAATATAGGAAACTCAAACGACCAAATTAAACGCATACAAAAGAGAAAATGTTATTTCTTAAGAGATACTAGTTAAGAAACCTAAACTGCCGAACTGTTGAAACTCTTAAAATTATTAAGAATTTAAACTGTTTACCTTTTTTTTTAAATCATCATTTTCAAATTTCGATTTTTTTTTATATTGCTTTTAAACATATGTTTTTAGGTTTTGAGAAAATTACTATTACTGACACGAAACACTCATTCTTAATAAGAAAATTTTGAAAATATGATTTTTAAAAATATATTAAAATATTTGTCCCTTTTATATAGTACGAAACTTTATCATACTTTTTTATATTAGTTTCGAGTTAAACTAGTTTGTTTCAAAAAATTCAAATCATAGTACAAACAGAAAAAAAAATCTATGTTTTTTTTAAAATGAGATTATAAGATTTAAACAATTCATATGAAAAACTAGCTGTAAATATAAACAAAGGGAGAATAAAAAAAAAATAGAAAAAGAGAGCAAGGTTAGAAGAGATGGGAAGATGACAAAAGGGTAAAAGCTGTCATTAATACATATAATACAAAGAATATCATAGATGTATGGTTAGTATGGTCAGTTGTTGAATTATAATTTTTTTGTTGGTCATAGAATGCAATTCCCCTTTATATAATAGTGCTTATAGAGAAAAAAGTTGAAATCTGTTGGTTCATGTATAAAGTATAAACAACTTTTTTTTTTTTTTTTCATATTTTTGTTGTACACTTGAGAAAACTGTTGAATAACTTAAAGGTATTATTCCAGTCTAATTTCATTATTCCTGAATTGTTTTAGAAAAAAAAAGATATTTTAGAATACCTCATATAAGATAGACAAGTTTTTTTTTTTCTTTTTTTCTTTTTGTGGTTATATAATCTCTCTCTTTCTCTCTGCCTTGCTCGAGCATCGTACTCGTCACACGTTGCACTCTCAATGCCTTCGCAGACCACACGAGCTACAAGAGCCAGGCAGTCTATTTATCCAGACAAATGTATAAATCAACAAAGAATAATTTTTGCACCGTCATTATCCTAGACTTCCTTAGAAAAACATTTTAGGGATTAGAAACAAAAATTATGATTATAAGATTCATTCATCTAAAAGAGTAACTGATCTAATAAATAAAACTCTTACGTTTGCTTTAAGTTTGTATGTAAGAAAAACAGAGACCTACAAGTGAGTATATTGTGTATGAATATAAATTAGAAATCCTTAAATCAACTACTCCGTGGTATGAATAAATGATCTTGTACGTATATATAAATAAATATATCTCTTTGCTCCTAGATCAAGATGATGGTGTACTTCGTCTGCCTTCCAAATCTCTCCTTATAATCTCCAGAACCATCTCGTTCCATGTGTCTACCGGCCCCGGCATGCACCAATGCAAGCAATCTTGTGGAGGAGGCTGACCGTCTGGTCCACGTTTTGTGATCTTTTTCGGGTCAGGACTCCTGTACGGGCCAGGATGACCGTCGTGGCGATACCCGAAAGCTTCAGTGATGTCCATCAGCTTCAGCTTCTTCGATCTATTGCCGAGTTTATCATCTGCCACAGCTCGGTGAAACCCTGTGGCTTGCTTCTCGTGCATTATCTCTGTGAATCCGTTTGTAACTAATTTCCCGGGAGGAAGCGGCTCTACTTTACCAGTACACGATCCACCAGTGTTCCATGCACCGCCCTCATAATGATCAGGCGACCAAGTACGTAAGATGGTCAGACCCGTGTAGTTTGGGTGTTTAGCCATTGCCTTTAGGATTGTTTCTACAGAGATCCCAAATGCTTCGACGTTGTTAATCTTTGCTGGTTTTGATTTGTCTGGCCACCATAACTGGCCTCCAACAATCTCGTCATTTAAAATGTAGACAGACTGTTTTGCAAACCAGTGACCCGATGAAAGTACAACCACATCGAATTTCGGAAGAGCTTCGATTATGCGCTCATCAGGTTGGTCGAGCTTGAGTTTGGTTACACCATCTGCAGCAAAACCAAACGGTTCGTTGAACTCATGGACGAGCCAAGATGACCACATCCGAGCTATCATTACTGATGATGACCTGAAATACCATCTCTGCATCTTTCGATTCCCACGGTTAACCGGAGTTTCTACCTAAAAACAACATCATTTAAAAGTTTAATCACACAGACAAAACTAACTCTTGGAAACAGAAAGAAACTCTATATTATGACACAAAGAATAAGAAAACACTTGCCTGCCAGAGAAGGCACATCATGGACTCCATCTGATTACGAGCCACTGAATCACCTATAAAAGCTAATGTCTTGCCTCTCATTAGCTCGAGAAATTTCTTAGCATCAAACCGCGGAAGTTCACACTGAGACGGTTTCCATCTCCAGTTTTCATACCCCTTGTCAGGTCTTCCATTACCCTGACAGTTTTGCATCTGTGTCAAAAGAGGACAAGAGTTGTTCGTGTACACCGGTCCCATTGGATCAAAAAACCAGTTACCATGATATAGATCACATTCTGCAAAATGGTCAAAACAAATCAGAAATGCTTCAGTAAGAAGATTGATAACACAATTTGACAGAAGCTATGATCCTTGAGAGAAGACATATGAAGTTATATATTGCCAAAACAGTTAACTATTATAAAGGAGGTAGCTTTAACTATATAGTCCAAAGGTGGTTATTAAGATTCCAGAATAAGGACTTAAGAGTTAAATGCATCATTAATTAGTAGCATTGGTCTTTTGTCTCAGTGATTTGTCTACATACTAATAAAGAACCTCCAAGTATAATTTAGTCTTTAAAGAGCTACTTAACTTACTCTATACATACTAATCTACAATTAGAGAAACTTAAGCAATCACTTAACACAGTACCTGTTTCTACAGAATCTTGTGTAGCTTCTTCTTCATCCATGGAAACATTTGAAGACTTCGTTTCTTCGCCTAATCTAACATCGTTCGAATCCGAAGAATCCTTGGGAAGCACTTTATGATCACTGTCTTGTGTCAATAA